TAAAAGCCGTCCATGTTATACTCAGCACTAAGAGAAGGAAAGGTAGTGTGTTTTACCCTTAAGCTTTAGTCTTTGAGAACTTTCTGATATCCCCTCTTACACGTATCTTTGGTTACTTACACTTTTTCATTTTTTTTTATGTCTTTGTAAAAGCACAGTTGCAGGAGGTCTGCAGTCAGTACATATAAATTGGTTTTCACTTTTATTTTCAACTTTTTTTTTCCTACTGGCAAAGCTCTGGAAACCAATGTACTCTATTCAGACCATGATGGAATATTTGGATATAAAGCAACATGATTACATACATAAGAGCTAGATTAGATATTAAACACTAGCAGATGTCAAAAGAAAATGTCTGAGTGTAAAAGAAAATTTATTCCAATCTTAGTTTAAGCAGAGAAAATTCGAACTCTTACTCACACACACACAAAATTATAGCATTCTTAGTACACTCCTTAACACGATTACCTGATACAAGGTAACAGATCTAAGACTTGCTTGAAGAACCAATTACCCGAACAGTTTTGTAACTGTACTTTTACTAAAGTACAGTTTAAAGTAAAGTAACAGTACTTTTATATTCTCTTTTGAATAAAAGTCTACTCTCACGAGTTCATCTAAGTTGGCCTACTAGAAGCCTTTTCTCTTACAGTGAAATTTCTATAAAATCCTAACATGAGTCAATAACCAAAGTGTTCCGAAAGTTTTCTTTGACATGAGGAATCTTACTGAGAAAATTTTATCTTAATTTAAAATTTTCAGAAAAATTTGCACCTGTTTTGGTTGCACAGGTGCAGCCTCGATGTCTGGCTGACATATATTGTGCTGTGTGAATTATTGTCCTATTTTCTTTCAAAATGAGGCTCTTTTATCAATTTATAAAGTAGCCCAAATTCTATTTCTAAAAACTTCCCACCTGCTCAGCCAATTTTCTCTCTTAGTAATTTTCAAGGTTTCTAAGAGTTTAAAAGGTTCCTAGATTTCATATAGCAATGATCCTCAAACTTGCCTGACTCTGCCACTGAAAGAAAAATACTGCATATTACAACCCAGCACATATATAATCCAACAGTCATGAGATGATGTCTGGCCTACATTTTCTGTTCTTTTCAACTAAAATGGTTTTGAACTTTCACCAATGGACTGAAACCTATGTTATGAAAAACACAGCTCTAGAGAACTCATATAAGAATACTGAATATAGCAATCTAAAAGACACAGATAAATTTATAAGCACACCTTCCTTCAGCTTGAGTGGCTTCTTAAGATCACAAAGAGAGCATCTCTGTGTACCTGGAGTCTGTACTTCTTGCCCCACTGTACAATATTCCTTTGCTTTTATTTCTCCATGTGTAATTTATCACTAATTCACATGCCATATATAAATCCATGCATATTTATCTATAAGTTTTCCCTACTGGAATAGAAGTGTGCCTCTCTCAGAGAAGCCATTGGAGATTAAAATATAAGACATCAAATATTAAACATTTCATATGAAATAGTCATAATTCAATTATACAATAATTTTAGTCACAAAATCAACATCTATCTTTGAGAAAATATTAACTTTATAAAAACCTAAATGCTCAAAATCTAAAAATTTTTAATCCTGATATGACACAAGTAAAAAGTTCCATATATGGCTTTATGTGATAGGTCCTGGTCAAAGTATAAGCACATTAATAAATATTGTAAAATTACCTTTGGGATTTGTGTATAAGGTTTATGTAGAACATAAAAAAGGCTCATGTTTGAGTTCAAGTCCTAGACACACGGTATGTTATTATATATAGGGAACTATCACAGAATTTAAAAAAAAAATCCAAAATATTAAACATCTGGTCCCAAGCATTTTAGAAAAGAGATATTAACCCAGTGTAAGTCTAGTCAATAGTATTCAAAAGATTTATCTGATCAAAACTAGTTTAATGCTTAACGTTAATAAATATGAATGGATTTATAGTAGGCTAGAGTAGGTAAGGACTTATGGCTTGAGCATGGGGACCTGAGTGCAGACTCCTCCGAGCATTCATGTAAAAGCCATGCACAGCTGGACATGTAGCAACCCCTGTGCAAGGTTGGATGGAGACAGGAAAATCCCAGTGATTTGTTAGCTAGCCAATCTATCTCAATGTCTAGCTCCAAGTTTAGGGAAGACTTGGACTCAAAAGATAAAGTGGAGAGGTTGAATAGACGGCTCAGCAGTTAAGAGCATATGTAACTCTTGCAGAGGACCCAGATTCAACTCCCAGAACCCACACAGCTATTCAGAACCATCTTCATCTTCAGGGGATCCTATGCCCTCTTGTGGTTTCTGTGGGTACTGCATGTGTGCAATGAAAGGGAGCAAAAGGACGCGCAGTTGTAGTACCCTGTGTTTTGGTGTGCAGTTTGGAAGTTAGGCATAACCTCTGCCTGGCTGTCATGCTAGGAGGATTAGGAGGAAAGCCCTGGTAGTGGCTATCTGGGAAACACACAATGACACTCAGTCTTTCATTTCAGTGTGTTAGCACCTTTTAATAGGAAGAAAACATAATTTCAGGAGTCATAATGGATAAGTACAAGGAAAGAAGAGAAAAAAGTAAAAAAGAGAGACAGAGAGAGGGAGGCAGAGAGAGCGAGAGAGAGAGGGAGGCAGAGAGAGAGAGAGAGAGAGAGGGAGAGAGAGAGAGAGAGAGAGAGAGAGAGAGAGAGAGAGAGAGAGAGA